AAAGCCACAGTTTTGTTTCCATAACTCAGGGCTTGTCTACACGAACACTTAGTTTGCAGTGAGCTGGGGTGTAAATGTACCCCTCAGTAGCCTGCCATTCACTAAAAGTTCCCTAGTGCATTTTGATCTTTCCCACTTTGAAATGGGAGTAGATCAAAGAGCACCAGGGAACTTTTAGCGTGTGGCAACAGTTACCACATGGCCACTTAGCACATGGCAGGCATATGAGGGGCAGATTTACACCCCAGCTTACCATGAACTAAATGTTTGTGTACACAAGCTCTCACGCAATGGCAGCTGCTGTTTGCACATTAGCACCATTGTTGGGAATCATTTTCCCTACTAGTACAATATAGGTTAAGATACAACTCATCTCTTTGGGACTTCAACTACATTGGTTAGGGATCAGGTCCAGACAGTGCATCATTTAGTCTAGAAGAGGATTCAGATGAAATGGTCAGCCACAAAATGTAGGTAGCAGTTCTGAAATCAGTTTACTTGTAGGTCAAAATTAAGCAAGAATATGCTTCTAGTGATGCTGAAACGACATCCTAAAATTGCAGCAATAGGCCCTTAAAACTGTTTACATGCCTATTACAGTACTTACAATTAGGATGTTAATCTACAATAATCATAAAAGGGTTTTCAAAATGCTCTTAGATACCAGATTCCGAAACTAATTCAAAAGTATATGTGCAGCAATCATCAGACCACCTTCTGGCAGGAGAGGAAACTGATCTGTCTATTCAGATAGATATGGGAGTATGGAACAGATAATACCACTCATCTCAGAAATAGGCAGCAAGATGAGACAGTAAAAACCCATCAACATACATCATTCGATCATGGTACAGTGTCATCTTCCAGCCTCTATTAGCCCTCACTGCCTCAGTGCAAGTCCCAGACACTTTATCCTGTTTATAATTGCTGATGAGCAGTAATAAGGCCTCCATGCCTCAGCTCCCGTCCGTTCCACTTCAGCGCCCACCTATTAGGTAATAACTTTTATTTACAGCCTTGCTTGATGCGCTGTTCTATTAGTACAGCCGAGAACTGAGCAGGGTAAAAAAGTGTCTCTAATGGGCACTATAATTGCCGGGGCTGGGAGATTTATAATGCAGCTCTGGGGCTGTTCTAGCATCCTATTCCTTCTGGTGAGAAGGCTCTAGGAAGGTTGGATTGCTAACACAGTGCCCTCCAACAGTCAAACAGTAAAGAGCACCTTAAAGAGCACCTCAAAAGGTCAATTGGAACAACAAAAACCTCTCAAAGTTGTTTTTATAATAAAAAAACCCGTCACTAACCTTTTTTATATTGTTAGCTCAGACACTTTACCACTGCAGAGCAATAGAATATCTAATTAATGGTAGACCAGAGCTTTTTGTCCTTACTAGACACGTAAGGGATGATAAAAAGTGATCATAAAAAGGAAGTTTCAGCCACAGCCAAAGCCAAGGAGACATTCATTTGACTGGCACCTCCATACTGTCTGTGCTAGCAGCTCCCAACAGGTTGTCATCTCAGGCAACATGGGCTCAATCCTGCAAGGGGCTGAGCACTTTGGCACTGATCTAGCAAAACACTTAAGCACATGCCTAAATTTAAAGATCAGTGCTAGAGTGCTCAGCACCTCCTAGGATTGAGCCCCAAACAAGGCGAAGCATACAGCACGCTCCTAAAACTGAAACTCTGGACCATAAAAGTACCACCTGACATACAAAATAAAGTTCTGATATGTTAGCACCAAGACAAAATTACAAGTGACGTGCACATGAAAATCCTTGGTTTCCATGAACCTCTCATGAGAAGTGGAGTAAGGCACTTACAGACCCATCAGCTTTATGGATAAACTCTGCGGATTGATTGTATCGTTATTGCAACAGATCTGTTTCTACCGCACTCTTTTTTTCAAGCACAATTAAGAATTAGCAGAGTGCACTCAAGGAGTTCCACTGACCTTTCCAGAAAATCTCTAAATTGTCTGAAAATGCTTTAAAATCCAGCTGATATGATTTACATATTCAGTCTTCTTAGAGTCATATAGCAGAAGAGTAATAAAATCCTTTTATGCTATTTAATACTGTACTTTCATGACACAGGCACGAGTATAAATGGGGTAAGGATGCCAACCTGAGTTGAAAAAGCTTTACTGCAATAATGTCAGCCATTAATCCGGACATGAATTCTAACCAATAAAAGACAAATTAAGATACATAAAAAAAAACATTCAGCAGGCCAGAGCCCAGCATCTTTTCTACACCATTCTCACACGTCTGGCTCTTCAAAACCTTTAAGACCTCACCCCAGCTAGTCATTCTTAGACATCTCATTCTTTTCTATCATAATCCTTGTCCTTTGGACACACTTTAGAATAGAAATACTTTGACAACCAGACCATCAATTCTGGCAAAGGGAGAAAAAACACTATTTGGTGTCATAATGTGACTTTGTCAGAGGGCTGCTCCAGAATCCAAGCTGACAAGTGCACAAGGTAAAAACTTTTCTTTTTAAAAACACTTTTTCCTTGTCTTGACAGATTTATTGTTTTGATCTTTCTTCAGTGGTTACACTAAATGCTAATAAAATGTGAAAGGTTTATGTCTTCCTTAATATTCTCCTGATGGGAGCTAGCATATTACATAAGTAGGTCAAATTTCTAATTTTCTGTCTCAAATACTGATACTGCAGACCTAAGGGAAAAACTACACCTGGGGGGTTGGGGGGAGAGACACAGCTGAACTCACACCAAAACATTCTTCTTAAAGCTCAGACCTGAGGAAATGCAGGGTTCTTACAAAAGGAAGTATTTATGCAAAGTGTAGTATATACAGTTTTATCCACTGAACTAACCAACTTCCTAGGAATGAACACAAGTTGAAATGTGGCTACAGTTAACTGGAGTATAATGTGAAACATTCACCTATAGTAGCCTTATCAGCCCACCTCTCAATCCCAGCTCAGTTTAAGACTTTATATACATATAGTAAACCCCATGGAACTCACACTACTACTAACTATTTATATTTAACTGGATTCCCAAACACTGCCCCAGAAAACATATCCATTTTTTCTTCAAGCACCACTGATAAAATTAGCTTGAAATGTAAGTTTTGAAAAAAGTAATTTTAACAAAACTTAGAAATTTTTTTTAATTATTACAAGTTGTGCTTTATAAAAAAAAAAAAAAAAAAAAAAAAAAAATCAACATTTCCTGTATTACTTGCACCCAAAGAGAATTGCTTGCAGGCCAGACCTTCCCACATTGTGCAAGAACTTGAAACTGGAATTGACTAGCTTATTGCCATTGTCAAACCTAGGAGAAATGCTAAAAGTAAGTAAAGCATAAATAGTGACAAAAATATGAAATTAAAAATACTGGTATTTTTGTGGGTAATTATGATTTTTTATTCTTTAGAAAGTAACCTTTTAACTCCTGGCTAACGGGCTCAGTAGAGTGAAAGACTACAACTAAATCACACAGACCCTGACCAGCAGGAGAGGTGCCAGGGTTTTTGCCGCCCTAGGCGGCAGCGCTCCTCATAGCATTTGGCGGCGGGGGTCCTTCCGCTCCGTGTCTTAGGGGCGCTTCGGCGGCGGGTCCCGGAGCGAGTGAATGACCCGCCGCCGAAGTGCACTGAAGACGCGGAGTGGAATGACCCCCGCCGCCGAATTGCCGCCGAGAACAGCAAAATGCCGCCCCCCAAATCCTGCCGCCCTAGGTGACCGCCTAGGGTCGCCTAGCGGAAGCGCCGGCCCTGCTGACCAGTGAACGGAAAGCAACTTCAAAAATAGGCTTGGGAAAAATAAGGAAACTACAAACAATGCAAAACAAATTTGCTTTACTCAATTGGCTGTTATACTAAAGGAGAGACTGGTAACCCAAACAGCAAGTTCTCTTTGCGTTTTTGTTGATAGCTTCTAAAAGAACACTGCATATGATAAATATACCAGAATAAAGGGACCAAAAATCTCTCTAGATTACTAGCACAGACTGGGAATAAGAAAGCTACTGGGGAAAAACATCTTAATGTTTAATGGGACATTTTTCAACATGTCTAATAGTTCCATCTGCCTTAATCTAATCTAAGGAGATATTGCTTCTCCCAGATGGCATGGCAAATTGTAATCTTACTTGCCATTATGCTAATTACGATCACATTTTTAACATTCACATAGTGCTTTTCCACTATCATTTTCAAGACCATCTATCCAGAAAGTTATTTAACTACCCTTCAATCTAAATTTTAGTTAAATATTACAGCAGCTATTATATGAAGGAAAACATATGCAGTTGGAGCTTAGTTTGTGTAGCGATAGAGGCAAAGGGATACAGAGGCAAACTTACTTTCTTGTTTAGAAGCATCCTCACATCTAAATGGGACAGAAACATCTTGATCTTTTATGACTGAAAGAGGGGGACGAGGTAAGAAAAAAAGGCAACAGTAGAAGTGTCCTGTATTACCTAGTGACAAACTGAGAAATGTTTCCTGCAAGAGTCACTGCAGAAGAAGAATGCCCTAATCCCTGAAAAAGAGGGAGTCCTTAACTATGCTCAGGAATAGCCCCCGTTCAACCATCAGTACACTGCAATACTGGTGCTTACTCCTAAATATAGAGACAACGGCATGCAAGGGTTTGCAACAACTGATCTAAATCAGGTTTACCCCAGTCTCAATTGATGCAAACATCAGTTCCTCCTTGCATGTACTGTGAGGTCAATCGGGAAGGGTGCAACCAACTCTGCTCTGTTCTTTTAAAGTGGGACTGTCATAGGCCCCATCTAAATTCAATTAAAGCAACAGGATTACTTTTGTATTTTTCTATGGTTATGTCATGTTAATTGCAAAGTTGTAAATGTAGCTTCCTCCCATTTTTCATGATTTAGCTGTTACTCTCAACTGCAGGTCACCAAGGTTTATTTTCCACTGCAATTCTCCTGGTATACTGTTGTACTTGTACAACTACCTATTATGCAAAGCCTAGTAGAAAGCAAAACTTACCAGAGTCACAGGATCTTTTGGTTGGTGTAGTTAACGAGACATGAGGTGTACCTGTGCATGGCCCACCTGGAAAAGGAGAATAAAAAGTCAGTCCCAAAACACATTAATACTAAGCATTTGCCATCTTCTTACAGATAAACCAAATCAGAGTTATGTCTAGGGATGTACAGGTACTGAAACATGCACATGTCCTGGGAGCTTATGGGTGTTGAGAGTCCGATATTCATTCAGCTCTTTGTCCTCCACCCCTTCCTTCCCATTAATATCCGAATATGACTTACAATTAAATATTGGGATGACACTTTTATATATGCTGTAAACATTTTGTTAGAAATATCCTTAGAGAAATACACTGGCAAAGGTGATTCTACATTCCAACAGAGCTGGGATCTCAATGGTTAATCCACAAAAAGACCCTGGGATGAAATCCTGGCTCCCCTGAAGTCAGTCAATGGGAGGTTTGCATTATGTTTCTATAGTAATTTACATCCCACAGGGCTTTACAAGCAGGTTATGTAAATCGATGAAATGTCATAGACTTTAATGAGTTGAACCTACTTTCACCAGACCTAGATTTTGTCCCATTTCTAAAAATCACTTCTCCCACCATGGGAACGTACTTTTCTTTGGGTGGTATGCAATACTATTGAACAGCACACAACAAAACTACACAATAGTTTAGGATGGGAAGAGAGAACAGCATATCCAACTGAAACTGCTGGAAGAAGTTATACAGACACAATGTTGACCAAAATGGAAGAAGTGTTATGGGATCAATCATCAATCACCACAAGTGGTCAAAGCTTTAGTTTTACGTATAATCTCAAACACAAGCATATACTACATTACCTTTGTGGACAAATTTTATTTTCAGGTTCTGGACTCTTGCCCACTCATCTGGTATTTGTCTGGTGGTAAATTGCTTTTAGGCTTCCTACTATATTTCAAGACGCATCATCATGGAAGAGCTCTCCAGAGATCTTGTTAAACTAACAACCCAATTCAGTATATTCACTGTATTGCAGTAAAGCACAAATAAAACCATATAGCTGAGTCAAGACAAATTGACAGAAAGTGTAACTGACAGTAATAATACATTGTAGCTTGGATAATTGGATGATATTACACACCTAGAACCTGAAACTAAGTCTGGTCTAGTAGACTTTGGAGACGAAAATACCAACAATTCAGTTTAAAGCAAGGGGTTAGTATAAGCCTGTCCCCAAGTATTGGGATGTGCTGCTAACTGAGCTTATGTCTATGCTGCCAGGCAGTTTGGACTACGGAGTATGAACTGCCATGCACATCAAAGTCCTGCACTATAACGCGCCTGTGTGTGGACATGAAGTAAAAGGTTTAGTTCACATTTAATGTAGCCATCTTCAAACAGCACTACATTAATGCAAACTGAGGCCTGGTCTACACGGGGGGGGGGGGGAGGGAGGGGGAAATCGATCTAAGTTACACAACTTCAGCTACGGGAATAACGTAGCTGAAGTCGACGTACTTAGACCTACTCACTGTCTTCACTGCGGCGAGTCGACTGCTGCCGCTCCCCCGTCTACTGTGCCTGTGCCACTCACGGCGGAGGAGTACAGGAGTTGACGGGAGAGTGCTCGGGGGTCTATTTATCGTGTCTAGACTAGACGCGATAAATCAACCCCCGCTGGATCGATCGCTGCCTGCCAATCCGGCGGGTAGTGTAGACATACCCTAAGAACTCTTTTGTTCGCGTCTGGAGCATCCACATGGGAGTTATAGTGCAACATTTTGGTGTGCACTGCTATTCACATCCCTGTAGTCCAAACTGCTGGGCAGAGTACAGAAGCCCTCAGTTGTTACCAGTCATCCAATATTTACGTGTCCTGAAATCAGCACTGTTGCTATAACAAATTGTAGTCTTCCCTTTTCAAACCATTTCAAATCTGGACTGGTAAAAGTAACCTACAATGGAAACTGTACCTTTTTGCTTCTTTATGTTTTATAAAAAAGCAGCCTGAATTTTTCTCATGTTATAATTTTACTTGTTTTTACTACAGAAATATCAGATCTTGCTTGCCAACTCTGTTTATATTGCAAAAACTCATGGGATTATAACTTTACAAAAGGTGACAAACATGGCCAATTGAGGGGGAAGGCATTTTTAATTAGACCACCTACAACTCTGCTTGTTGTGTTTGAACATCTGTTTAACTCAAGCTTCTGAAAAAACTCTCAAAAGATCTTAATGTTTCAGAACCCAGCCTTTCAAATGAGGAAAGAAGCAGTTCTCATTTGAGTTCCCTGGCCCTTCAAGGAGTCCTCAAGCCAACGTGTGGAAAACTAGTTCAACAGCACAATTTTTATTCCCCCTTAGCAGGTCACCTTTAAAGTGATTTCAAGGTAAATCAAAATGTAAATCTAACAAGACACTGTCAAGCTGAAATCATTTAAGAATTCAGCTTCTTTACTTGTGTTAGACTTTGTTAGAATATTAAAAATGAAAATGTTAGAGTAATTTACACTATTAATGCTATTGTCCAAGATGCAAAAAAATGCACTAGTGTTTTGGAAAAGGGGATGAAAGGATCCCCAGACAGACCTGACAACCATTTGAAGAGCCTTTTACAAGCTAACTCGAGCACTAGTACGAAGTTCAACATTTTGGATATTAATATTGTAAAGAAATTTTTAGAACGAATACCAAAAAATCTTGCTATTGGAAATATACAAAAACTTCAATTTTAGGTCTATTTGACTTGTCACTGATCATTTTAAAAAGCAGGTGCACATCCATTGTTTACATGTCAACAACATGCAACAGTGTGCAGTTCTACTGAAGTAATTCCATACACATGTGCTTTGGTCTCAAGTGAAATACCTTTTTCATTAAAAAATGTCATTTAGTTACATTCTTTCAATTTTCATAGAAAGAAAATTGATTTTCTACCATGATGGAGCCTATGAGATCAACCCAGATTATTGTACAGTAAAATATTTACACCAGGTGGGGCTTTCAGAACCCAGGCAAATATAGGATTTTTTACTTGCCATTTTTAAAGCAGAATAAATTGCAACTGTTTCTCATTCTTTTGCATTTCCAGGAGTGCAATAGGAGTTTGTTTATTGCCTCATTAGATATTATGTTCAGATGAGTGATTTTTTGTATTGCACAGTAGTAGGGCTTCAACAACTAATAACTTGGGATTTGCATGCAAATACACCAGAGTGCCTCATAACCGATGAAGTTTGCATGCCCTTTGCAGCACTTTCTTCTACAGCTGTTTTTTGTTCCACCATTAAAACTAGTCATGCATAATTGTGTACGGTGGGCTTGAATCTGCAATTCTATGTGGAAACCATGATGTTGAATCCATTGCAATACTGACAAATAACTTAGAGATCTTTATATTATTTGAAATAGGCAGTGTATTTTTCATTGGTCTGAAATTAGTACAGTTTGTGTAGGAAAATGAAGTTAAATGACTATCCTCACTTAACGGCTACAAAAAATAGGTTTAAGTTAACACGTCCCTCTAAGTATCAAAATCTTAGTACCTGGAATCAGTGCTTGGTGTGTTTAACTATGGGTCAAAAAATGCTCATTCAGTAGATGCACTTTGCACATGAAACACTCTAGTTGTCCAATTCTTAGCATAATCCAAATGACTGGAATTGCTTAATTGCTCTCCCTTAAATGAAGCAGGTCCAGTGCCCTGTGCCAGAAGAGGTGCCCTAATTTGGCCAATTAAGAAGGTAGAGCAGCACCTGGGGCTAGAAAGGATCAGGGAGAATCAGAGAAGTGGGAAGTTCCTGAAGGAAGCTGTTGGAGGTTCCTGGGGCAAGGCTGAAAGCAGGAGAGGGGGTTTGCTGGCTGACCTCCTCAAGCCAGAGAGCTGAAGGCAGGACAGCAGCAGAGGGAATTGCCTGCTGACTTCCAAGCTGGAGAGCTGGATCCAGAGGCCTGAAGAAGGCTGAAGCCAGGAGCTCTGCAGAGGGGTTTGCCAGTTGCCCTCCCCAAGACAGAGAGCCAGGGTCAGAAGGCTGAAGGCAGGGGAGCAGTGGAAGAACCTCCTTGCTGGTTTTTCTGAGAGGAGAGGTTAACAGAGCAAGGGGAGTGATAGATGCTGGCTGGTGAAGATCAACTCCCCGCAGGGGGGTTGCTTCTGGGAAGACCAAGGTTGCACTCCAGCTGGAAGGACTGGGATGGCTGAAGAGGGTTTTTTGTTTGTTTGTTTGTTTTTTAAATGAAAGCTGAGCTTCCCTTATAATATGACTCCAGGAGCTGGGGCTTCAAATATTGCAATACTCACTATGAAAACACAAGCGTTTTCAATGTCATTGGGTTTGCACAGTCCGGCACTCAAAATAAAGGGAGGGCAACTACAGAAGAGAAGCACTTTGTAACCTTGAAAACTCTAAAGTATATACATACACATACACATATATACATATACACACACGGTCTTGTTAATACATTTGCAATGCCTGGTTATTGTTGGCTCTTGGTATCAACTAGCCCACTGTGGCTGCAGTTAATATAGTGCAATAAAGACATCAATTAGGAAAAATGGATTTTGAAGCAGTCAGCTAAAAATTGTCTGTAGCTCAATAATCAAACGTTTCTCTACCAGCTTCTCTTGTAACTCTCTATGAAATATTAATAAAAACAAAAAATAGTTAACTTACCTATTTCTTTTGCAGATTTATTACACCTTCAATATTCTCTCTTAATTAGCATGACATTTACATAACAATATAATTAATTTCCATCTACAGGCACAGTGGACTAATTAGGAACGCATAATCCCTTTTAAATACCTTGTCAATTTCACTCCATCATAATCTGGTGGCTGATTTACCTTTGCATAGCTAAACATACTAGTATGTCAAAATACTATCCTCAGACAAACAATTTTGGGCATCAATATTAAAAATAAAGGTTAAAAAATCCACTAATGTAAAATATCTAGTGACTAAGGTACTTGCTAGAATGTCCTTTAAAGTGGATCTATAAGATACCAAAGTTTGTATTTTTCTTGTTTGTCAACATTAATTTAATACTCTAATATTACAAGCACGTACAA